CGAAAAAAAAAAATGATCGTCAAAGTCCATTTGTCCATACAGTCTTTTTCGGGTTATTGTTTAGGGGGGGGGGGGGGGGAGGTGGTTGTTAAGCGGGAGGGGGTTTTACATGCACGTTTTTTCAAGTCTCATTCCTTTACATGCACGTTTTTTCAAGTCTCATTCCTCATTGTGGTGGACACGCCGTGATCCACCATTAGCCGCTGACCTAGTCCTGCTTGATGCAGGACCTAGTGCCACGCCGTCCGAAGCGGTAATGAGCAGAGGCATGAGAGCAGCGCTGATTTATATCTTTTCAGGCTCAAGCAGAATGATGTGCAACCAAGTGGTATTCGTTTATGATGACTGGGTTTGGGAAAAAGGCTTATTTCATGAAATCAGTGATAAAATTATCATTTGTACATTTTCAAAAGTTTGATTACAAAAAAATTGGAAAAATATTTATTTCAACAGGTTTGTAATGTAATATCCTATCGATTGGCGTATTTGGATTTTAATTTCATCTAGAAATGACAAAGTTACAAGCGTTACTCCTTCACCACACATATTTTTTGATTTGCACCCCAGTATAGTCGACAAAGAGGTAGTTCTACGTCAAAAAACAATTTTTAATAAAAAAATAAAATAAAGTGAAACCTTGTACCATCATTCTTCGTGCAATGCGGAATTTTACAAACCAAATTAGGTATTAAGGTTCTTGTGAATGCCCGTGAAATCTTTATCTGATTGTTTGCTGTAAAGAAGCTAGTAGGGAGCCGCGCTACTTCGTCGTATCATAGCTGACTGATATTTTTTTTAAATTTATTATTGAGACTTTTAGCCAACGGGTGAAATTGCATCGGCAAGGTGAAATTGCGAAATGTGATATGAATGAGGACTCTTTAAACAAACTTTTGCTTCTAACAATTTTACGGATTTCCAGTTTGTTTAAATTTTCCGCAAATTGTCAACGATCAAGGATCTTATTTAGCGTAATTTTGATTGCACCATGATTTCAAAATCATATGATTGAAAGATTTCATAAACAACGCTGGTTTAATAACTCTTAGTATTAAAAAGACTGACTGCTGAAGTTCATAGAAACTCCCAAAAGTTCGTAGAACTTCTCTGAAGCGTTAAGGTCTTTCCTGAAGAGTTCATTGAAGTTTGTATTGCCTGAATTTCATGGGACTTCCCCGAAGTTCGAAGGACTTTTTTCAAGATCTTAGGACTTCCCTGAAGTTCGGAGTTTTTTGAAATTCATAGGAATTTCTTTAATATCGTAGAAGTACCACGAAGTTCGTACAATTTTATAAGACTCGACATATGAACGACAATGAAGGATAATAGACCGATTTTTATACGAACTTGCCAACTTTGGCATGTTGCAACTCTGTTTTGTTATGATCAATTGAACTGAAATTTTGACACAAAACTACAAATATGCTGAATTTCAAATGTACGTAATATCAAGTTATTGGAAGCGCTTGCCGGCAATTGACGGACTGGTTGAAAATCTATATATATATAAATGAATTTCTGTCTGTCTGTCTGTTTAACCAATATGACTTTGAAATTACTTAACCGATTGGCGTGAAAATTTGTATGCAGGGGTTTTTGGGGCCGGGAAAGGTTATTATGATGGTTCGAGATCCCTCCCTCTTCTGTAGGGGGGGGGGGGGGCTCCCATACAAATGAAACAGAAATTTGGCATGTGGAGGTATAAGGAGATGTAATGGCATGCTTTTTTTAATCGGCGCATAAACTCAAGCTAATATTGAATCCCGAGCAAGACCGGGCACACTCAGCTAGTAACCAATAAAATAGCACATTTATAATTCGAAATATCTGAACTCGAGTTTTGTTTCTCTCATGCAACGTGTTCACCGCTTTATTTCTATAACGCCTAGCTAGACTATTAGCAAGAAACGAAAATGAAAAAGAAGCACGCTTGGAAAGAAATGCTGGCTGTGGATCTTTTCGTCGTTGCTTTGCTCATCGCTTTCAATGTAAGTAACTGGAAAATCGCACACGTAGTCAGTTCTTTTTTACGTAGGATTACGTAATTCGGCAACATATTGGGGGTGCAATTTAAAAATACGAAGATCGAAACTGGACAGGTTTCGACCACTTATAACTCTGTCAATAGCGGATGGATTTTATTTCTAAACAAGCCCATCGATTGGAAATTTTTCTACGGATCTGAACACTTTATCAATGTTCAATACGTCACTATTGAAAATTTCACAAATGTCCAACTGTTGCAATGGTGATCAAAATTATCACTGATTGCCTGCAAAAAGCGCTTTCCCTAACACAGATTCAAAATCGAATTCCATCCGGTCTCACCAAACGATGCTTATTCAATCACCGTGTGTGGTCGGTCGTCATCAGCAGCAACAGCAGCAGTGCTTTCGCCACGTACCATTATACATTTTTCTCGAGTACACAACAAAAAAAAAGGCTGCCCTCAAGAGCCCTCGATTCACCGACGAAGGAGGAAGATCTTACTGATCGGATTCAAATGCTCGTCGTGAGTCGCTGTGGGCCAGCTATGGCAGGCGCGTAGCTCTCGTTCCAAACAACATACAGCTCGCCAGCCTCATTCGTGTTGAACACCCTAATAGCTCAGCATTACTCAGCCATCACGACGGTTCTTTTTAAGACCACCATAAATTATTATTGTTTAAGATTTGATTTTCATTGAACGTTCGCTGTACCCAACAACCAAACATTTTTGGTCAAATGCGTAACAGTCTTGAAGTGGTACATACAAATTCTCACAATGACCACATGACCTTGTCAATTAACCAGAAACACTTCGAATTAAGGTAAGATTTTCTCCAGGACGCTAGAAAAAAAGCAAAAAAATCTCGAATTTATATGATTTATCACGAATATCTCGCGATTGGAAAATTTTAGCAATAAATTCTTCCAATCAATTTTCGCTTTTTTATTATCTATCGAATAAAAAAAAATGCATAATTTTGTCATAGAAAAAAATACGTTTCCGTGATGGGAAAAAGATGTTTCCCTAACACAGTCGCCGAATATTGATACCGAGCAATCCTACGGTCGTTTCTAGGATTCATCCTCTTACTTTTCTGATAACGTATGGGTATATCACGAATTACTTTATGTGTATTTAAGCGGCATTAAAGTGATTCCTTGTAGAGTCTATAAATGGCCACCACGTAGGCTATACGTAGTACATGCAGTTCCACTTCGAATTTTCAATTACACACATTTCGGAAATTAATGCTACTTCATGTATGCTGCAGTATATCAAACGTGGAGTAACAGTTTCATTGTAGTATGTATCGTAGAAGCTGATATATGTGCACTTAAAGTTTCGAAGTGAGAGAATAAGGAAAGCTGAAAAATGTTGATTTTCGCAAAATTAGAACTATTTTCGAAAAATCTGTTGGAACAATAAAATTAATAGCATTCGTTTTTACCAAACCACCAAAGGTGGTAAAATGCTATCAGTAGTTGCGAGATCACAACTGACAGCTTATGATGGTAAGAAAGGAAATCATCTTCGAACAAATTTAAAATTGCATAGAAGTCAGAACTACAACTAAACTTAACTATTGTTGAGATGAAAATAAAAACAAACAATTTATTTGTTGAAAGTATGTGCTATTATTCACAAATATTTGAAGTAATTGAAACAAATTACGTTCCTGGAGGATTTTTTAATTTCGTCACGATTTTCCTGGTGAATAAATCATCAAAATAAAAATAAAGCTTTGTTCAAGGTGAGTGATAATTGATTTGCTTTTAATAAACTATCAGATACATTTGCAAAATGTTCTAAACATTAACTTTTATTTAGAGTTTCCTATAAGGGGCTGTCCATAAACTACGTAGACAGTTTAGGGAGGGGGGGGGGGTTGACAATTATCCACGGTTCATACAAATTTTAAATTTTTTGTATGGCCGATTGTCTACGCAGGGGGAGGGGGGGGGTCAAGAATCCCAAAAAACTGTCTACGTAGTTTATGAACAGGCCCTAAACTGGAGTCGCTTTTTACGCGGTGGATACGTGCCGCGTAAATTCCGGAATTCGCGTTAAAAACCGCGTAAATTCCAAAATCCACGTAAAAAACCGTGTAAAAAAAACGCGTAAAGTGACTCCAGTGTAATTGTGTCCTGTTGTTGTTTTGTACGGAAAATAAACCCAACCGATTAGCACAATCAAATGAAAACAAACAATTTTTATACGCAATTCGTTATAATTATGACGATTTCCGAAGTTTAGAAGTAACGCCTCGAATACACATGCTTCGAAAATTTGACGAAAATGCATAACCTAATAGAATATTATCGTAGGAGACGAAATTTCAGAAAATTGCATGAAAGACTTTCCACTATGGGATTTTAAAAACGACGAAAAAAAAAACATAATTTAACTCAAATGAAACTCTGAGCTCAATACTTGATTTAAAATAAAATATGCCGCTATCGACTATACAAAATTTTACCGAATTGTTTTATTAGTAACATCATAGTACTTTTAGTCTTGTGAAAATATACGTTTCAAACTACGAAATCCAAATACTCAGCTGTCGTAATTTCAGTTAAATTTTACCAATTTACATAATTGGCATATGCGTACTTTTAAGAAAATAGCAATAAAAAATCAATTAAATTAATCGATGAAATGTTTCAGAAAAAAATCTTGTTTTTCAAGTTATTAAAAATCAATTAGACTTGTTCAGGGGAAAAACATACTAAGTTGATAAAAAAAACATTAATCCATAAACTCAATACCCATAACCAGTATTTAAATATATTTGCTTCGTACGGTACAATAAAATGAAAATAAAACAATCCCCCCTATTCTGCGAGTCACGTGACTCTCTCTCACCGGTGAGGTGACAATAGTCACCTCGTGTGAGGTGACTCTCCATTTGATTTGCACGGAGAGTCACCTCACACGAGGTGACAATTGTCACCTCACCGGTGAGAGAGAGTCACGTGACTCGCAGAATAAGGGGGAATAACATGAAACTCACCGCTACTGTCAGCTCCTCATAACAAGCGTCGAGTTGCTCTAGCAACTCACTGCGATCGATGCGTTGGTTCTGCTTCGTGCCGAACCGTATACGCAAACGCTTTCGGCTTCGGCTTGCTGTGCTCTGCTTTACCGACCCAATCGGCCAGAACAATGGTGCGTTGAAAATTCTGTCGAACGCAGAATTTTGTATTAGTGAAGTCATCGCTGTAACAAAAAGAAAACAAAATATTCATATATTCGAGCATAGAAATTAATAGCAGTGTTCACAAAAATGAACAGGAAAATATAAAATTTTATGCTTATGTTATGTAAATTAAATCATATTGTAGAAATTTTTCTGAAATGAAATATTAAAATTCTTTCAATTAAATACAGTTTAAAAATTACCTTTCAGCGCAAAATGTCCGCTTCTTCATAAAAGATAAAACGCTTCTATAACGTAGTGCTCACGAAAATAAACTGAACACATACGATTTAAAACAGACATTACATAGCTAAGCCTTCAATTATGATTGTATTAGTGTGACGACTGAATCGATAAACCACAGGGAGAGTACAACATTGAGAGAGCTGCAAACAAAAATGCCAACGAGGGAGAATATCGCTTAAAATTCGAACGAAACGAGGCACCCAAGCCACTCCACTCCGATAGATTTGGTTGGTTTTATATTCATCATACCCGACCCGGCCACCGACAGCGATATGAACTCAGGCAGTTGAAAAGCAACCACATGTTTTATTTTTCATTCTGTCGTCCATACATTCCAGTTTCGTCGCTCTTCGTATTACATCGCATGTAGAACAGCTTATTTATTATCTATATACCTACCTACCTACCAACCAACCTACCTACATGCCAACGAAGAGAGGAAACGAGTGAGCGCAGAAAGACTCGAGAGAAGTTTAGTCGAACAAGGGTACTATGTGTTGCACATACTCCACTCTCCCTCTCTTCTCTATCGTTCTGTTCCGTACCCGGGCAGAGTGATTGAAAAAATAATCACACAAAGCGATGCTTCGTCATGAGATGAGAACACGATAGTGGCGGATCTGATCTAGCTAGCCCGCTTTCTTGGAAACTACACGTCCTTCGTGTTTCCACTCATAGGCGAGTGTTTGGTTGATGAAAATATACATAAAAAACAGCGCTGAAAGCTCTTCATTATCATCATTGTATGCGAACGGGGTTCAGTCGTTTCTCGAGCGAGACGACGCAAAAAGGCGTCGGCGAGTGTTTCGATTTCACCACTACATGTACAAAGTGGCGCGTTGGCATCGATGAATTTATGTTAATCGACTAATACTGCGAAACACAATTCGTTCCAATATTTCCATACAACGGTAATAACCCATATAGCCACTGATATATAAAAGTGCATACGTCCGTTATTTATTAGATGCTGTTGGTATGAGTGATAACTTACTATTGCATTTCACCACTCTACTGCAAAATTCAGTTTTGAATATGTGAAAAATATATGCTATATTATTTTTTAACAAAAATACAAATTTAAATGAAACTATTAAATTATTACAAATGTTCAATCTTAAATGGTTTTCATATTATAGTATTTAATTTAAATTGATTGAATGATTTATTCATATAATTTATTCCATTTTATATATTTTTTACAGTATCCCAAAAGTGATAAATTCTATTGTAACAGCACATTACTATTTATTAAGTTCTATTCCGGAATTACCGAATCGAGACCATTGTAAGTGAACCGTCCGAAACTGGTGCTAAACGGTATCTCTTTACTCATGTTCAGCAGATATGAAAATCAATACGAGAGTGATGCTCTCTCACAATGTCATAGATTTTTTTAAACTCTTTATGTGTTCCAAATTCAAAATAGATTACATTTCATTTTAACCTAGGTGCTCCAGCTACTACAGTAAGTTACCAGCCTTAATTGTTTCTATATATATCTGTTTTAGTGTTTTTACATTGTTCCTGCCTTGGCAATTCAGTATTTTAAACAGGGTTTTTTAACCTGCATGTCAGTATAACAATTGACAAAACTAAACTAAAACTAAATCTTATCTAAGTACAAAGGGAATTAATCGTTACAATTGAGGATTGCAACTATTTTTGCCTGAAATTATTAATTATTTTGATGGAAATTTGTCCTAAAGTCTCAACATCCAAATTTCTATGTACTTCGGTGCCCCGTAACGTGGGTAGATCACCTTTTCGTGGTACGTTACGGGATGTAAGATCTACCACCGATTCCTAGTCCTGACTACTTCAAACTAGAGGAACAGGATTTTTCAGTAATCCAAGGAACACATCTTAGTCCTTGTTACTTTTTATGCCTTGTTGATAGTGACAAGACTCGGCTTTGTCTACCGAGGATGATCTTGAAACAAGGAAAAAAATGAGTTAGTTGTCTTCATCTATGTGATTCCTAATCTTCTATTCGTTGTTCCCTAGTTTGAAGTGGTTAAGACTAGGGTTCTGATGCATGGTCATTATCGGTGTCATGCCTTAATTTTTTTGCTAAGGAATCCAATTTTGACTGACAAAAGGGCGCGCCTTTGGAGGGTGTTTCAACACTCCGAAGGGTATAAATAGCGGGACCTTTCAATTAGAGTCGGATCTTTGCGATAAATGCAAGAGTGGCAACTGTAAAAAAAAAACGAATACTTCATCATTTCTCATGGAGTAATACCATAGAGGTAACTCTAAGACCACTGGGTCCCGAAGAAAATCATTATTATTTTTGGCTCACTCAGTACCAGAACAACGGTCCCAAGCAGTCCCAAGCTATTTCACTCACCCCTGCATGTTCTGCATGAATCCGCACACCCCTGATGTTATCTGTCAAACTTTCATAGCGAATCAAAACAAACATAGTGTAGTAATAGAATTTCAACTAGAATAGGGTACGTTAATCGTTTGCTTGGGACCAATAGGCTACTAAAGTGGTGAGCCAATTTAAAATCGTTAGTTTCGTATTGATTGTTGGTAATACCATAGAGGTAACTCTAAGACTAGAAGGTCCCGAAGAAACGAGTTCAACTTTTTGGCTCAGCTCTGGTACTATCTTCCGTCCCAAGCTAATCGATTCACCCCTCGAAACATAGAAAAAACCAATAACCCCTCATTTTATCTGTCAAACTTTCATAGCGAATAAAAACAAACATTGCGTAGTACTAGAATATCGACTAGAATGGGGTACGTTAATCGTTTGCTTGGGACCAATAGGCTAGTCAAGTAGTGAGCCAATTTAAAATCGATAGTTTCGTATTGATTGTTGGTAATACGACATGCACTAAACTAAGGACACGGGATATAACTACAATAGATCAATTTACTTGATTGTCCCGAACAGAGGAAAAAAATGATAGTAACTGTACCAGGGAGGCAACTTCAAAATCACCTTCAGAACTTTGTTCTAAATCCTTTGAAGTGCTTTTTTTTCCTGGTAGTGAGACAACAAACAAGACCATATGGCACAGCGTAAAGCATGGCCGGTCTAAAAACTTGTTTAAATATTCAAAGTTTATTCTTCAGGATTAGATTAGATGTCCTGTTTATAGGAGGATTCAAACATTTTATATATTTGTTACATTTGGCTTGAATGCCCTCAGTGTGATCTTTAAAAGTTAATTTTGACCAGAAAATTGGAACTCAGTTCATAGTGACTACTACTAGGTTTCAAAAAGGAAGCTCTAGGCTTATGTGGGAATATTATTAGTTGAGTTTTGTTAGCGTTGAGAGAAATCATCAATTTTTGTAAATAAGAAGAGAAAATATCTTAACTTTTCTGCAGTCTGCTGCAAATAACACGAATACTTCATCCTTTAGCGGAAATGCCTGTGTCATCAGCGAACAAAGATTTGTGGCAACCCCGAGGCAAATCAGGGAGGTCCGAAGTGAAAATGTTATACAATATAGGCCCACCCTAATAAAAATTGTATGGTTAATTTGCTTAACGACGTGTTCTGGGTATCATCCAAACCATTTGTGGAATATTTCAATGATTTGGGTTATCGTTCGTTTATGGTTATTTTTTATTAGGGCAAGAATGCTACCCTGAAGAACTCCTGCTCTAACAGGTAGTCGAACAGATTTGGAATTTTGATAATTTACCTGCAGAGTTCTGTCAGTTAAATAATTTTGAACTAATTTCCTAATATAGAGTGGAAAATTAAACTTTTTCAATTTAGCAATCAAACCTTCATGCCAAACACTGTCGAATGCTTTTTCTATGTCTAGAAGAGCAACTCCAGTTGAGCAGCTTTCAGATTTGTTTGAACGAATTAACTGGTAACTCTTAAGAGTTGATGAGTAGTTGTATGCACATGGCGAAATCCAAACTGATCTTCTGCAAAAATTGAGTTCGTATTGATGTGCAGCATCATTCCATTCAAAATTATCTTTTCAAAAAGTTTACTTATTGAAGAAAGCTAGAAGCTTCAGCTGGATTTTTATCCGGCTTCAAAATTGGAACAACTTTTGCATTTTTCCATTTATCAGGAATTTATGCCAAATGGAAACATCTGTTAAATAATTTTACCACGAAAGAAAAGGTACTCTCTGGGAGTTTTTTTGATGAAGATACAGAAAATTCCATCATCACCTGGAGCTTTCATATTGTGAAACTTTTTTAGTTATAGATCTTACTTCGTCCAAATCCATCCCCCAGGAATCGTCAAAAATATTTTCCCGAGAGAAAATATTCAGAAAATCCCGAGCAACCTGATTCTCAATAGGACTAGTAAGACTCAAGCTGAAATTATGGGAACTCTCGAATTGCTTAGCAAATTTCTGAGCTTTTTCCGAATTTGTGATCAAAATTTTACCACCTTCAAGCGCTGTAATAGGCTTTTGAGGTTTTTCAAACATTTTGTGAGTTTCCAAAAGGGTTTGGAACTCGGGTCTAATTTAGAAACATTATTTTCAAAAGTTCTGTTTCTCAGGGTAGAGAATTGGTTTTTAAATTGTTTTTGCAAATCCCACCAAATAACTTTCATGGCAGGATCACGTGTTCTTTGATATTGCCTCCTACGGACATTTTTAAGACAGATCAAGAGCTGAAGATCGTCATCTATTATAATTGAATCAAGTTTGGTATTGAGGCAGCTCTTGTTTCAACTATAGTAGCCAGAGATCCAAGAGCATAATTAACTTCATCTTTGGTTTGCAACGGAATATTTGGATCAAAGCTATATTCCATAAATGTTCGATATTGCTC